GTTTCTATTATGGAATTGGAATTGGATTTGTTGGACTTTGCCAAAAGTTGTTGAATTTGATTTTTAAGAGATTTGTGTTGTTGTTGTTGTTGAGGTTTTGTTCGATTTTCTTCATTACCTTGAATTTTTCTAATTTGATTAAGTTTGATGTTTCCTTTTCAATTATTAATGGATCGAAGAGGGGAATTGGTTTCGTTACATCTTCGTTGAATAGTTTATAGCAGATGATTATCCATAATTGATGGGTTATTATGGTTATTAGGTTCATGTATATTTTTTCTTTTTTGTTTGCATTGCTTACATTCATTGTATCTAGATTCCAATGTCTAATTTTCAAGAATGATAGTTTGTTGATTGTTTCGACTATTGAGGTTTCGATGTTCTTGATGTTGTTGCAATCAATGAAAAAATGTATGTATGGATCGCTAAATCTGTTATTGCATATTTTGCATTGGGTGTTACGGATGTAGTTGATTCCAGGTAATGTTCTTGAGAAGAATCTAAATAAAGTATTTCTACCTTTTTGGTGTGATGTTTGGTTGATAAATTGAAATATGATTGGTAGGTTGATGTTGTGTCTGATTATTAAATCCTTTTGGCCTTCTGTTTTCCTTATTTGGTTGAATTTTTTTGATAATAAAAGGCTGTAAATCTCTTTAAGTTTGAGTGGTCTGTTTTTTGAGTTTCTGATGCAATCTGGTATGGTTCTTAGTTTTCCATGTTGAGGGAAAAAAATGTTTCTGAAAGTTTTCCACTGATCCACGTTTTCTCTAAGACTAATTGATTTATAATCGCTACTCCTTATTTGTTCGAAATACCACTCTTGGAGTGTATTGTTTAAATTATTTTTGTTTATTTCTAATAATCTATTCATATTCCAAATTTTGAATGCTACCTGTCTCATACCTAAATCCCACATTTTTATGCCACCATCTTTCCATTCACCGAATGCTCTATCCATTGTCATTAATGTTCTATATTTTTTTTCTTCTATATATGTATGTTTGATTGAAGAAAATAAGAACCATTTTATAACATTGTTGAGTTCTTCGATATGATCAGTGTTTAGTGAATCAATATATTGGTGATATGATAGTCTTGATAATGCGTACGTTTTTAGAATTGCCATCTTAGCTTTCATTGTGATTGCTTGACTCTTCCATCTACCGAGGCTATCTTTGATTGATTTGATGATTGCTGTGATTTTAGAATTTAAACCTGTTTTTGTAAAATTTAGTCCCAGATATCTTTCTGGAGCCTCACTTTCCTTAAATGGTAGATTTGGTGGTTTGTTGCCAATGCATATCATCACTGTTTTATCTTGATTCAAACTAGATGATGTACTTAAACAATAATTGTTGATTTTTCCTATTATTATTTGAAGTTCTTGTTCCGAATTATTGATAGTTGCCATATCATCTGCGAATGCTGTTAATTTTATATTTTTATTACTTGTCAAATTGAAACCTTTGATGGAGCTGTCGTTTAGAATATCTACTAATAATGCTTCCATTGTGAGTGCAAAAATTGTCGGAGACAATGGATCTCCTTGTTTTGTTCCTCTTTTTACTATGATTTTGTCTACTAGAAAATCGTTTATTTTGATTTTATTAATTGTATCTTTTAGTAGGTTCATTATTAGTTCTATTACCAAGATTGGAATACCTATATGTTCTAATGTTCTTCTGATGCTTTTATGGCTTATTGAGTCAAACGCTTTATTAAAGTCGAAGAAGGTGATTAAGGTTGACCCTTCTTTAATTTTATTTGCTTGCTCTATAATTTCTTTCATGATTTGAATGTTGTCTTGAATATATCTATTTGGAACGAAACCGTTTTGGAATTTATTAATGACTCTACTGGTTACTGAGAGTAATCTATTGTTTAGGATTTTACTCAATAATTTGTAGTCGGTATTTAAGAGAGTGATTGGTCTTCTATTTGATATTAAAAGTTCATCTCCTTTTTTAAATAACGTTGTAATGAAACCTTCTTTAAATTTTGAATTGATTTCTTTTTGGTTGGTTAATGTGTCATTAAATACTCTTGCTAGAATTGGTGCTAGTAGATCCTTGTGGTTTCTATAAAATGATGCGTTCATTCCGTCGAGACCTGAAGTTTTGAGTGGATTTGATGTTTCAATTGCTTTTCTAACTTCTTCGGTTGTAATTAATCTTTCTAGATTTAAGCTTCTGATGTAGTCTCTATCTATTGACCATTTATTTAATAATTCATAGTGTTTCATTTCATTGTCAGGTTTTTCATTGTATTGGTCCTGATAAAATTCTATAAAACTTTTTGCTATTTTAATTTTGCTAGATACTATCTCTCCATTTTTATCTTTAATTTGAAATATTGCTCTTTCTTTTTCTCTTGATTTCAGTTTATTTGTGAGGTATTTGCTTGGGGTTTCTTGATATGTATTTAATTTTCTTTTTATATCCCATTGTTTGTTTAATTCTTCTTCTTTTAATATTTCCTCTAATTCTTCTTCTAACCTTTTCTTTGTGTTTGCGTGTAAATCTTCGTTTTCTAGTACTTTGTGGATATTATGTTTTTTTTTGTATTTTTCTTTTTTAATTATGTTTTGCTGAGTTTTGAGGTGGTTTCTGATTTTTTTATTTTTGAAATTTATCCAATCATCTAGTGAATTAATGTTGTTTTTGTTATTTTCTATCATTTCTATAATTTCATTATGAATTGTTCTTGATTCTAGTGTTTCTTTTCTTAGTGTCCATGGGAGACCTCCTATTTTAATGTTGTTATTTATTTGTTCATTGTTGAATACTATGTTGATCGATATAGGGTGGTGATCAGATTTGTTATATATCTTTTCATGAACCACTAGAGGATTATTGTTATTGATTATTTCTGGATTGCAATATATTCTGTCCAATCTTCTTTCTGATCTTGGAAATGTTGTGGTGTTGTTGTTTAATCCCACATCGACTAGATTATGTTCGTCAATAATTTTTCTCATTTCTATCCCATAGTATGATCTGCATTCATGAGTTGTATTAAAATCTCCCGCAATTACGTCATGTTTAATTTTGTGTTCATTGATTAACCTTTTTGCATTAATAATGAATGAGTTTCTCTTTGGAATTGATGCTGGTGCATAAATGACTAAGATGTTTATTGGACGGTATGAATTCAATTTTACTGATAGTATTCTACCTTCTTCATCTTTGAAATTTGTTGTTAGGTAACCTTTGTTCATATCTCTGTTGTCTATAGATACTCCGGTTCCTTTACCATTTCCATTTTGTATTTTCTCATAATTAAACATTGATTTATAATGATTATAGTTTGAATGATTGGTTTCTGTTAAAATTGTTATTTGTGGACCAATCCTCTTGATTGTTTCCTCTGCTTTATTTATTGATTGAGTACTTGAATTACCTCTGCAATTCCATAATAGTAATTTCATTGATTCGCTTATCCTCTTTTAAGAGGAGCATTACCAGAAGTTCTGGATGCTATTGGTCTTGTGATTGAAGCTTTTTGTAGTGTTTGTTGACTACTATTTTTATTTAATAATTGTGCCTCAGCAGAACTGGTAATTATTGCTGCTATTGATGGTGAGGTTGTTGTTGTTGTTGAAGTTGTTGTGGTTGGGATTGAACCTGTATTTATATTGTTATTATTATTATTATTATTTATATTATTATTATTGTTATTATTATTATTATTATTATTATTATTATTATTATTATTATTATTATTATTATTATTATTATTATTTGTATTATTATTATGATTGTTATTATTATTATTGTTTTTATTAATATTATTATTGTTATTACTGTTAACATTATTTGTTGGAGGGGTGTGTTTTGGATTTTTATTTTTTCTTTTTGCTTCTCTTACTTCTCTATTACTATACTCCGAGAAGAAGGTTCTGATTTGATTATTATTTTTTTTTTTTTGTATATTCTAAATGATTTTTAATTATTGAGATATCATCTACTTTGTTGATGAGGATTATACAAGAGTATCTCGTTACATTATCTATCATTTTAACATTACATTCATCGATTAGTTCTGGTTCTATATTCCAAAATTCCTTTACTGTTTCTTTATTGATTATATGAGTATAGTTTTTGGTAAAGGTATAAAAGTGAAGGAAGTGATGATTTGGAGCGTAAAGGATGAATTTTTGAATTCTTAGTGGAGCTTCCTCTGTGTATCTAAAGGTACAATAACAATCATGTAATTGATTGAAGTCTTCTTTGATTATTCTCCCAAAGACTGTAGTTCCTTTTGATTTTCTTATAATGTATAGTGAGCCATTTACCATAAATCTATCTAAAAATTTTTGTGTGTTCGTATTTAATTCGGATGTATTCGGATAGAATAATCTGATTTGTAGTGTTTTTTCATTTAATTCTACTTCGTTGAATGTAAACTTTTTTTCTATATTTTCGAAGAAATTGTTGGTCATTTTTTTTTTTTTTTTTTTTTTTTTTTTTTTTTTTTTTTTTTTTTTTTTTTTTTTGGTTATCTCTTTTTTGTTGATATGTGTTTTTTAAAAATTTCTTTATCTAATTTGAAAGTTGATTCCTTTAATAGATTTGCTTTTCTTACCCCGAGATTGATGGGATTAGAAAAAGAACTGTAAAGATTGACCAAGATATAGGGTTGAAACGATAGAATTATTTTTCTCCAATATCTGGTATCGATGTGTTCGCTTGAAAGTTTTTTTTTTTTTGCAATAATGAGGGTTTAATTATGACCACGTTACTTCGTGGTATGACCAAGACTCGATCCCAAGGTACTACGTATAGCCTCCAATAATGAGGGTTTAATTATGACCACTTTACTTCGTGGTATGACCAAGACTCGATCCCAAGGTCTTGACCACGGAGGCTTGTGATTCAGCGTGGAACCACTACGCTAAGCCCCCCCGGGACTTATGAAGTTTCAAAGTTTTTCGTTAATTCTTGATTCTTGATTGGGTGTCGAACCCTTGTACCAAGGGTTGATCGATTTAAAATATCTGCCTCAGGCCGGGATCGAACCAGCGACCTTAAGATCTTCAGTCTCACGCTCGTACCAACTGAGCTACTAAGGCTTTGATGATTTTTGTGTAACGATAGTACTAGTCTTTTTTTTTCTAATAGTTGTGCCACTTTCAAATTTTAACACCCGTATCAAATATCATTATTTGTAATTAACATCAAAAATCACCAACCACACGACACATTATTTCTCATTTGTGTACAGATTACAAACAACTATCACTTTTTATTTCTAAAAAAAATAAAAAAAAAAAATAATAATAAATAATTAAAAAATATCGACCAAATGAAAAAAAACGCAGTTTTTTTTCATTTTCGTTGTGCCACTTTCAAATGTTAACACCCGTATCAAATATCATTATTTGTAATTAACATCAAAAATCACCAACCACACGACACATTATAATGTGTACAGATTACAAACAACTATCAACAATTCATTTTTTCAAATTCATTTTGATACTCTTTTTTTTTTTAGAATAAAGGAAATTTTGCAAAAAAAATCAGGCTTTTAAAAAAAAAAAAAAAAAAAAAATCAAAAAAAAAAATGAAAAATAATTAAAAAAAAATAATCAAATTAAAATATCAAACTAAAAATATCAAAAAAAAATATCAACCCCAAAGTATCAATTCAAAAAGGTGCTGGTTTAAATGTTAACACAAGTATCAAATATCACTGTTTGTAATTAACACCAAATGTTACCAGCCAGATAAAGACACATTATTTCTCTTTGTGCCACACACTCAAAACATTAATTTTATACATTAATTGAGCCTCTCGAGGAGAGACAGCCTAAAAAACTGTGATATTCAATTTAAAAAAAAAAAAAAAAAAAAAAATCTTTTACACTAATTTAGATAATTATAGAAATTTGTAGATATTTATTAGAACCACTCTTTTTATACTAATTTGTAAAATTATAATAATTTATAAACATGTGTCAAAATAATTTATGTAACATTGTCAACTCATTTATGGCACTATAAATACAAGATGTTTTCTTCAGTTCAAATTGTGAATTAAAAGAGTAAAATTATTAAAAGGTGAATTATTAAAGTAAAACTATTAAAGTGTGAATCATTAAAATTAAAAATATAAAGATAAAGAAATTAAATAACTATAAAATAAATAATTATAAAATACAACAAATATAAAAATTAAATAAATAAAATAAAGATTATATAAACTATAAAAACATAAATACAAAGATACCTAAAACCAAGTCAAACCATAGAGTACAAATGCTACAAATAAAAAATAGAAATAAAAAAAATAAAAAAATAAAAAAAAATAAAAAAAATAAAATTTAATTTATTAATTTTTATTGTTATTTTTATTTATTTTAATTTATTTTAATTTATTTTGATTTTTTTTTTTTTTTTTTTTTTTTGTTTTTTCTCTCAATTTGAAAAAAAAACAAAAAAAAAAACAAAAAAAAAATTTTGGTAATCTAAAAAAAAAATGGGGGACAAAGGAGATCTAACATGGAAAGAGTTTGAAAAGGTAGACATGAGAGTGGGAACAATAATACAAGTCGATGATTTCCCGGAGGCCAGAAAACCTGCATATCAATTAACTATTGATTTTGGTGAAATCATTGGAATTCGTAAATCCTCAGCACAAATTACAAAAAGATACACTAAAGATAATTTGGTCAATCGTCAGATAGTTGCTGTTGTAAATTTCCCAAAGAAACAAATTGGTAAAAAATTTATGTCTGAATGTTTAGTGTTAGGTGCATTAGGCAAAGATGATGGAGACGTAATTTTATTATCACCAGAATCAAAAATTGAAAATGGTTTAAAAATTAGTTAAAAAAAAAAAAATTGTTTTTGAAAATTACCAAAAAATAATAAAAAAAAAAAAAAATTATTGTTTTTATTGTTTTTTTAAATTAATTTAAATAAGAACCAACAAATATTTTAAAAATTTTTGATAAATCTTCAATTGTGTTTTTATCTAAACAAGATTCATTATCTTTTTCAGTATGCCAAACATTTGGAAATGGATAAGGAATAATATGTAGTGTTGGGACATAATTTAAAAATGGCATATGATCATCTTGAATATTTGATCCTATATATTGATTTTGAAAATATTTATATGGTTTTGGACTAATGCTGGAGAAAAAAAAAAAATTAATATTAAGTTTTTAAAATTTTTTTTTTTTTTTTTTTTTTTTTATAACCTACAATCTTTTTAAAGATAATTTATCTTCAATATCAGATAATTTTTTAAACAATGATTCAGTTTTTTTATTAAACATATAAAATCTAGGATTTGGGGCACCCAATAAATCCAAAAGTATAAAGGCTTCGACTGTATTATAGAAACTACTACTAATTGGTAAATCATTATCATTGTCTTTGGTAATCACTTTTTTATCCAATAATAAATTTGCTAAATGTCTAGAACCATATAATGAATCTGTGTCACTCCATTCTTTAAATGCTTCTTCCCCATCAAAAAATATTATCATTAATCTCTCTAAATTATTAATTTGATTTTAGTAAATGAATAAAAACATAAATAAATAAATAAATAAATAAATAAATAAATAAATAAATAAATAAATAAATAAATAAATAAATAAATAAACGAACAAATAAATAAATAAATAAATAGATGTATTGTTTACTTTTGGATTTTTTAATTTCAGATTGTAAAGAAATTGCCAAATCTATTAACATTGAACAAGGTACAGCAGAATCAGTTGCACCTAAAAAACTAAATTCTTTAAAATATTTAGAGTCATAATGAGCTGATAGTATTAAGGTTTTTGGTGATTCGGATAGTTCTTCTTTATTATCAACACCAACAATATCATCATCATCATCATTAACCAATTTTGATGTTAAAATTATATTTGTAAAAGTTTTCTCTCCAAATGGTGTATTATCTTTAAATGAATCAAATTCAATGTCCCAATAGAGTTTATCAAATTGAGATACTATATATTCTCTAACTTTTTTATGGTTTGGAGTATCGGCAACTCTTTCAACCAATATATGCTTTAAATGTTTTTGAATTTCCTCCATATTCGATTCACTATAGCTCTTTATTAGTGTTGATTTTAAATTTTTAAATTTAATTTTCACTTCTTCTTGTTGTTTTTTATTAATACAATTGATCACATTTATTAATAAAAAAAAAATAAGTGTTTTAATTATTAATGACTTTAAATATTTCATTTTTTTTTTTCATTCAATTAATTTTTTTTTTTCAAAAATAAAACAAAAAAAAAAAAAAATAAAAAAAAAAAAATTTCGATAATTTAAAATGGACCAAGTTTTCTCTAAATAAATTTTATAATCAAATTGTTTTTATTTTTATTTTTTTTATTTGTTATCTTAAATTATTTTTATTTTAATTTTTATTTTTATTTTAAATTTAATTATTTTTTTTTATTTTTTTCCTTTTTTTTAATTTCTTTGAAATTTTGGCGGTAAAACTTTTTTTTTTCATACCATTTTTTAAAAAGTTTTTTCTTTTTTTTTTTCATTTCATTTTTAATTCACACCAAAATTTAAAAAATATATGTAAATGTTAGAATTTCAAATTCCAATACATTTTGAAGATGTTTCTTTATCATCAAATGATAAATATTCCATTAGAAAGATAATTGATGTAAATTCACAAAATGAAAACACAATTCTATCAAATTTAGATTGTAAGTATATATTTATTTTTTGAAAACAAATAATTTATTCTAATATTTTTTTTTTTAAAAAAAAAAGTAATTTATGAAAGAATTAAAAAAAATTCAAGTTATATAGTCGATCATCAATGTTTTGATTTATTATTTTCATATTTATTAAATATTAGTAAATTAACAGCTGATCAAAGAAATCAAATAATTAAAATTTTAAAATTTGGTATAACAAATATAACATTAAAAATTAGTAAAGAATTTAATAAAACAAAAAATCATAAAAATAGAGGTCAAAATGATGATGATGATGATGATGATGATGATGATGAAAGTGATGAAGAAATTAATAGTTCAGAAAATAATGAAAGTTTTAAATTAAAATGTTTATTATATAGAAATTCAATAAAAATGTATATATTTTTTTTAGAACATTACATATCTTATCAACACTCTTCAAATACAAAAGAATCAAATACAACAGAAAATAATGAAACCTCAAAAAAGAAATCAACAAAAAAAAAAAACTCCACATTAGATAGTTGGGAACAAGAGGAACAAAAAGAAGCAATATTAACATCGATTATAAATCTATTAGAATTAAATTTATCAACACTTTGGAGATTAGATTATCCAGAGGAAGAATTCATAAATTTACTTTCAAAAATTATTTATGCAATGATTGAACAACCAATGAATTTACGTAGTAAAGGTGTAAAGAAATCCATTTTCGAAGTTTTAACAATTTTAATTTTACATTATAATCACTCTTTTAATTTTACTAGTAAAATTATTCATCTTTTACATAGTCACGAATCTTTACCATCGCATTGTGCTGATCTTTATGAATTTATTTATGCCTATCAACAACAACAAAGAAAACAACAAAATCAAAAAAATTATTCACAACCAACAAATCAAAAAAATCAAACCACATTTTTAATTTCAGATATTATTAGAGAAATTGGTAAACAAAAAGAACAACGTGATACTAGTGGTTTTAAAAATTTAGCAAAATTTTTATCAGAATTAACTGATCGTTTACCTAAAATTGTTTTACCATTCGTTAGTTTACTATTAGCGCATTTAGATTCTGATTCATATTTAATGCGTAATGCTGTCACTGAGTCAATTGGTTTTTTAATTGGTAAAGCTTTAAATAAAGATGATAAAGAACAAAAAAAACAAGAAGAGGAAGAAGAGGAAGAAGAAAATCAAAAGAAAAATGAATCGGATCAATTAGATCTATTAAATATTTTATTTGAACGTTGTAGAGATGTCATTGGTTATTGTAGAAGTAGTGTTTTAAAAACTTTATCATTATTAGTCAATAATAATTGGGTACCAAAAGAAAGTTATATTCAATTAACAAAGATTGCCATTCAACGTGTTTCCGATAAAAA